AATGCCACTCCATCTTTGCCATGGAAAGACATCAATCGACAAAAATAACTTTGAAAGAAATAATGCTCATTTAGAAATGGGTCAAAATAAAATGAATTAATGCCTAAAAAGAACAAATTTAAGCATTTGTTAAAATCAAGTTGGATGATAGTGGAACTATCGTCGTAATCTATCATAATATCATCTTATTTATGCTCAGAAGATTTCAACACTTTTGCGGAACTCAATAGCAAGAGCATCATATTTTAGGAGATAAGTAAATTAGGTCCAAATTCCTCCCATAAAAAATAAATAATAATGAACGAAACATTTATTGATTAAAATATTGGATGGAATTCATATTTGTAAATCGAAATTTCTAGTCCAGGGCCTTTGTAGGACCTGCAATTCTTGTGCCATCTCTTTCTACTTCATCATAGTCCTGGACCTGCTATCCACAGGGCGTTCATTAGTGCGTTCCCATTCTTTTGGTGGGTTTGATGAATCGCCAAATTCCATTGCCACGTTTATTTTGACTTTCCTCAGTCTCTTGGTAAGTGTTTCAACTGCATCGGGACCTTCGAGATCCTCGATCTCTCCTAGTTTAGATGAAAGTAAGGTCTTTGAACCGGAACTTTTCTCCTCTTCGAGCGCATCACGAATCAAAGCTGGCATAGCTTTGTTTGTCACGAGTTCTACAAATCCAGTAATTGCTGATTAGTAGTTATTCGAATTTCAAGCCTATCAAGGAAGATCGTTTGGAATTGGAATTTCAAGACAGAACTTCTTCATTGAAAACTTCTTCAATTTCAATGTTACTTTAAATTATTTGAATGTTCCGTCTAAATAGTGCCTGTCATGCCACCTTTTGCCTTCTACTTTAAGTAACTTTATTTACTTTTAAATATCAATAAATATGTAGGTAAGAATTGGAACTTTTATTATGGAACCTGTTATAATAGAGAATAGAACGACTTTACCAAGATTATTCACAGTAAAATCGATCATTTTTGTTACATCTGAACTGTCGGCAGTCAATTTCATCCCATTTGATACGGCGACTGCAGTAAGGAGAAGTGTGAAGAAGTACATGACGAGGTGTCTCCAACTGAAATATATCAATGCCCACATTGTCGCTCTATTTATTCAAGAGGTTTTGCCTTGAATCATTGTACAATTTCATTCATGCATATCTTTGGGTAAAGACAGTGTCTTTTCTGCTTCAGGTGCTACCATGCAATTTATCTTAGTCATGCAAATATTCTTTCATTTTTCAATGAGGCCAAAGAGAAGGGATGTGGAGTGTTCAGCGCAACCACGATTGTGCAGTGTCTATGTGGTGACAATGATCAAATATTGTCAGTAAATTCTTCATTTAAATAATTCAACAAAATGAGATCAC